ACTCGCACCTGCAACGGTATCAAAAACGGTGGTGCGTGCGACGCACAAGACTACTGCGACGGCAAGGGCGCCTGCAAGGACTTCTTCGCAGACAAAACTGTTCTCTGCAAGAAGGGCGCCACCCTCTGTGACAAGAACACGTTCTGCGACGGCACGTGCTCGACGTGTCCCGTTGACGATGACGTGCTCGTCTACCTCGACAGCGAGAGCGTCAGCGTCGCCACGTACCTCAGTGACACCGTGTCGCAGTGCTCTGCCAAGGCCGTTTCCGTTGGCTCCAGCCAGCTCAATGCCATGTACAGTTCGGCTGCCAACAACGGGCTCTTGGTCGTCGCGTGCATCGCTGCCGTCGCTGTTGTCGCCTCGGTGCTTCTTGCCAAGAAGGCGGACGGCTACGTCTCCATGGAAGATGGCTACGCCCGCCTCGCCGACGACACGCGCTACGCCTAAGCCCTCACACGCTCCCCTGCTTTCTTCCTGCGTACGATGTTGCATTCCTCCGTATCCTAGTCTCGCCTAATGTCGATCATACATGACCGTGACTTATTTGAATCAATGCTTGACAAGGGATCATGCAGAGGCTGTTTATTGCCAGGGTGATAAGGGAAATGTAGAGAGACACCTCTCGTGCATGGTGCTTTGCTTGTTTGGATGTCAATATGTCCAATCGATGACTTTTGTGTGGTGGCGAGGGCACTGTCGTGGGCTTTTTTTGCAAGACGTATCAATCAGCTGTCTATCCTGACGTTATGTCCCCTTCCCCTAATGCGCAGTTGCGCTCAGCCAAAAGTTTTTGAACGCAGCCCTCCTTTACATCTCTGAAGATACTCTGATGTTGTGTTCGAAGTGAGGTTTCTTGTGGAAAAATATATAGTCAATCCAAGAGTGGGTACGCGACGTCAAAGGCAGACGCCATGGCGTGCGTTCGCGGCACTTCTGACAATAGCGGGATCTCGAGACCAAACGTGCGCCAGTTCTTCATGTCCAGACTGTACATGGTGCGCCCGATGCGGAGGCTCAGAATGCCATTCAATGCCGCCGACGCGCGGTCGAGGTAGTACACGCCGTTGTAGACACGGTTACTGTGCGCGTAGAGGTACTTGGCGCCGGAGGAGAGGAAGAGCGACGTGACGTGGCATGTGGGTTTTGTTTTGAGATTGAGTTTCACCGCGTAAAAGCACACAATGTTGCAGACAAGGATGATGCCGATGAGTAGTTGGAGTCGCTGAAACTGACCAATCTCGATCGAGCCCGATTCACAGATGGCCTGAAAGTCCACTTGCACCAGAGTGCATTGGAGGTCGATGGACGTGTTGGCGTTGACGGGCGAGAAAGCCGTGAGCGCTGCAACTACAACCCAGACGACGAGGCCGTTGACCATAACGTACGACGTCGAGTACTCTTGCGTAAAGATCAACGCGATGTCGTTGACGATCGAAACGAGCCACGTGACCTCGTTGGCAGCGAGGAGGGTCTTGTACCACGGATCGCGCACAGTCGTGAAAGCACTCATGTAGCCAGAGTACTGGAGCTCCAGCGTCGCCGTCGAGAGAACGCAGATAGCAGTCATGCTGCGAAGTACTAAGAGCGGCCGCCCAACCCAGACGACACCCCCGACGCGACCGAGCTCGAGCATGTTGAGGCCTTCGTAGTGACCACGACTTGTCAGCATGTACATGGCTGCCATAAAGGCGACCGCAATCATGACACCCGTGACGTAGATGACACCAGCGCGCAAGTATTGGGCGACGTTGGCGGTCACCTGCCAGCCTTGTGTCAACTGCGCGAGTGGCGTCGCAAGGTCCGAGAGCAGCGTCATGTTGCCGACGTCGCCTTGAAACGAGATGACTTCACGGTTGCCGAGCACCCAGTCATAGAGGTAGAGCCACGCAAAAAAGGCAAAGTCCGATTCGGTCGGGGCGAGAAGATTGAGGCGCTGGATCGAAAGGGGCGCTGTCGCGTCCACGTTGGTGTAGATCATAAATTCGATCTCCATGGCTCGTACGTCAGCGTTGGCGCTCGTTAGTGACGACGCAACGGTCGCCGGCAGCGGTAGCACGAATGCGTCAATATAGCTCAGCGTTTGGCTCAGATATTTCACACATTTGGAAGCAAATGTCGGCTCGTGGGCGCACACTGCGCTCATATCCCACCCCGAAGGTTGGAGGTGGAGGCTGGAGAGGAGTGCCGCGAGAATGTACTGTTGCCGCGACGGTTGGGTCTTTGACAAGACACCAGATGATCGAAGACAAATAGCGTCAAAGGATACGACACTCACCAGGCCCACAGACATGGCGTACCCGGCCACGAGTGGGGGGCACATGGGAGAGCCACCAAAACTGACAAGGTTTTGTGCGAGCCAGGTACCTGGCACGGGGTAGGACGCATCCAGCGTCGTTATGTCGCTGTAGAGTGCTTGGGCCTTGATGTTCTTCGACAGTGGTGCACGAGAGACATCAACGAGCAAGGCAAAAAGAGTGCGCACCGATGCTGGCACTGGAACGTACACCATGTCAATGGACCCATATGGCCCGAGCAGCGACTGCACGAGCTGGAAGCCTGCAGAGAGCGGTGATGCGAGGGTGCCGTTCTGCACCAAAACCGCACCCAGCGTTGTGTTGGCAAAAGCAAAATCAGGGCTGGACCGGACCAAGCTGCGACCGGCGAGGCGCGACGAGTTGTCTGCCACTGCCGTCAAGTCGTTGGCGAAGGCCCAATACATTTTGAAACTCGTCTGGCTCCCAAAACGGTACGTCCCGTTCTGCGACGTTAGCGTCAGTGGGTACACAATGCCGTACGCGTTTGTGATCGCGTAGCTGTTGAGAACGCCGAGTCGCTTGTAGTTTTGCCACTGCACCTTGTAATGCTGAATACCATATTGGCGCCAATAGAGGGCTTCGTCCGAGAGGGTCGGCTTGTTCTTGACGGCCGTTGAGGTGTGAAGCCAAGCTTTGCCAGCATCGGACCGCCGGAGCTCGGACGCGATCGCCATCTCGAACGAGGATCCCCAGCACGCGTCAAAGTCGTCGTAGTTGATGTTGCGTAAGACCGACTCGAGGTATACGGCGCCGTTCGCCAACATCGACTGACACCGCACTTCACGCCGAGCCGAGTTGGCCAATGACCACACTTGCTTGAAGTCCACAAAACAATATGGCGCAAAGATCCACGGCGCTTGACACGCATCCATGGCTCGCAGACCTACGATCGTGGCGGTGATGTCGCTGAGAGGCTCGTGCTGGAGGTAGGCGCCATAGCTGACGGATGATGAGACCAGGGCTTCGGACGCCGCAAACGACTTCATCGCGTTGGCACTTGGCTTGTCCAAAGCAAGATTGGGCATCGTTGTGTGACCAAGGACGAGCTGCTCGTTGAGCCAGTTGGCGATAAACGCGTGGGCGCCAGTCGTGTTGAAGGTGGCCCAGAAGAGGTCGTTCGAGAGGTTGACTTCAGAGACTCGGAGATACGAAATGCTGCCCACAATGGAGGCAATGATGTAGCCGAGGCCAACAACCATCCAAACGTGCGCGACGCGGGCTTTCTTGGCAATGTCTGGCACAAGCATGGAGGCTCGCTTGAGCAATGTGGATTGTAGACGGCTTGACGTAACGCGCGAGAGACTGCTGAGCGTCGAGGCGCGGCGAGGTACGTGGCTCTGGAACGCCAAGGAAGGACACGGGAATGTCTTGAGAAAAGAGCTTGTTGATAAATCGTCAACCAAAATGAGCCACAGCTTCAAGTCGAACGTGTACGCTTGCTTGCGAAGGCGAAGCGGAACGAGCCCACTAAGAATGCACGCGACATGGTCGATCGTGTATACTTCTTCTACACTGGTTGCATGCGTACACAGAAACAACTGCGAGACGCCAGACACAAGCAGCGTATCGTCGCACTGACGGGCAGGGCGATGGAACCAGCGCCGATGCACGATAGTACCGACCACGAGACTCCCCACAGCAACACCAGCTTGGATCACGATCAGCGTCCAGACGCGAGTCAAGCTACCAACAGCAACGACGCCGCTAGTACACGAGACGGCAAAGTCCATGTTGGTGCCAACACACGTTCGAGCCAGCGTCGCTGACACTTTGACGGGACTTGATAACTCGATACAAAAGAGAATCAGCCACGAGAGACAGCTTGATATCGGACTATAGATCTTCGTCGCATCTCGCGTCACAATCAAAAGCGCTTCATTGATCACGTACGTCACCCACGTCGCCTCGCCGGTGATGATGAGTGACGCAAGCCAAGGGCGTGGCGATGCCGCAAAGCGCGAGTACCCGTGATGCGTTTCAAAGATGACGTTGGCAGAGCTCAGGAGCAAGATCGCGGTGACGCCGCGGAGAAAGGCGAGGGGCCGACCGATCCATACGGCGCCGACGACGCGATTGAAGAAAAAGAGGTTGCGACCGAGGAAGCGGAGGCGCACGAGACCGGCGTAGAAAAATGACACGAGCCCGACAAACACGAGCACCATCGATGTCACGACGATGAGGTAGAAGAGAATTTTGGTTGCTGTCTGGAGCGGTTGTGTCCCCGTCGAGTACAGCTGCGGTGCATACGCATCCGAAATGAGCGTGACAGTGCCAGCATCTCCTTGGAACGAAACGACTTCGCGACTGCCCGCGACCCAATCGAAGAGCAAGATCCAGCCAAAAACATCAAAGCTCGACGCCTCCAGAAGCGGTTGCTGGAGCAGCATCCAAGTTCCGTTGGCCAATGTTGCGAACTGCATGAGGCCGACACGAGTATCTTGAACAGCCGCTGTAGCTTTGCTGACGCTAGCAGTGATGTCGCTCGAAAACGTCAGTTGTTGGAGAAGATTGCTTGCCGCCGAGAGGCTGGTGAGGCAGTCGGTCGTCGGTGTCGCCATCGCGCAGACACTCGGTGATGCCTCGGCCGTTGCGAGCACTGCAAAAAGACTAGCGCTCGCCGTCACCGGGATTTGCAGCGGCAACGCTTTCGAGCAATCGTCAAAGAAGCCAAACGACTGCTGTGGAAACAACGTCCCGGAATGCAGCGTGCACATGGGGTTCCCGCCGTAGAACATGGAGGCACTTTTCCACGCTGGCGGCAATGGCGCGAGGGTGGTCGTCGAAATACTGGTCAGCGTGGATAAGCGCTCGGCGTCCAGCTGACGAAACAGCGCATCTTGAAACGCAGTGTACGTCGTTGCCAGTGCTGTAGGCACAGCGACATAGACCGAATCGATGCTGAGAAAAGGTCCAATGTGGCTGCGCACGAGCGCCGCCTGGTGCACAAAGTTGCCGCTGGCGTTGGTGTTGCCATTGAAGACTTCGAGATCGATCGCAGGCATCGATACACTGACATTGGCGCCAAAGTACGTCAAAGTACCGCGAATAATGCTCCGGCCCATGCCTTGGCCATTCCAGAGGTCGTTGAGCGGGATCCAGAAGAAGTTTTGGGACGTCCACGGTCCAGTACCCCGGGGCAAGTTCTTCAACGTCACAAGCTGGCGCATGCCCAATGCGTTTTCTAGCTCGATCGACTCGGTGACGCCAGCCTGCCACCGGTTTTGCCACTGTGCCGTGAACGACGTCAAGCCAAACGTCCGCCAGTACGCGAGTTCGTCATCGACCGTCGTCGAGCTCCGCACCGTTGCCATCGTGCTTAGGAAGGTGCGGCCACGCACCGTCTCTTGCAGTGGGAGCTGAATGGAAACGGTAAATGGTGCGTTGTCGCCTCCCCAAATGGACAGATAGTCGGCCCACACCACATTGCGCAGAATCGCCTCCATGTACACGCCCGCGTTCGTCGCGTAGTGCTCGAAGCAGCGCTGCTGCCGCTTGGTAGTATGCGCCACCTCGAACGACCGCTCAAAGTCCACCCAGCAATGCTGTACGTTGACGCGCATCGACCAGCTCGCGCTGAGCAGACGTAGCTGCGGCACGGCGTACTCGATCGACGTGAGCTCGTTGAAGATGACGTGGCGGGCGTACGTGGGCGGGACGTTGGTGTACGAAACGGGAGACGCATATGTCTTCTGAACCATCGCACTCGGTGCATAGATGCTGAGCGAGGTGGCGGCGGTCGTAGAGAGGACAGCGTTGACAAGGTCGACGAGAAAAGCTTCGTGGCCCGTGAGATTGAAGCCGGCCCACCAAAGGTCGTTGACGAAGCTGGGCTGAAGCGTGTAGACGTACCAGACGCCGCAAGCTAGTGAAATGAGGAGGTAGCAAAGCCCAAGAATGGCCTCGGCGACTTGCTTCTTTGTGAAGCTCCACGTAGCCTCTGGAACATGACGCGACTGCCGCACATGGTCCTCCGTAGGTGCGGAAGGTACCGTTGGGCCGTCCGATTCTAGCGTGGGAATCACGTAACCACCTTCGACCATCGTGCGCGTTGGAGGTTTGGATACTGCCGTGGGTCGTTGTGGCGGTTGATATGACTCAATTTTTGTAAAGACGTCCGCCAAGACGGCATTGGCTGCAAATAATTGGCTTGAAATAGACTGTGGTCCATGAGGCGCGGTCAGTTTGTTGGGACCCCCGAAGTGCTTCACCAAGCATTAGAATAAGTTGGCTTGATCGGGGTCTCTTCTTCACCAACAAGTCAGCAGACGAAGATGAATTCGGCCTCCTCGTCTGCCGCGTCGTTTTTGCTCCACATCCAGTCGAGTTGGCTTGTTTTGGTATTTGGCGCCTTTTCAGAGTGAAACGAACCACCGCCAGAAGGCGCGTCGCCCAGACCCAGACCCGACTTTCGAGTCTCAAATCAATGGATCCAAGCGGCAATGACGGCCCTATCGTCATCGTCCACAACCTTGCAAAACCCAAAAGAGGGTCCTCCAAGTGGCCACCCTTCTATGACGCTGGTGTTCAAGCCAATGGCATGCGCAACGAAGAGGAATACTCTGAAACGCAAAACGGAAGCACTTGTCATCTTCGTCGCCCAAGTGTTCTGCTTTATCATCAAGAAGCATCACCCGCATTCGGGTTCGTAGTGCTCTTCACGACTACACGTCAAGTAGTAGGCACATTGCTGCTGGACGTTGCGGTCGTCCACGTACCCATGGCTTGTTGAGCTGGGCAATCTATGCCCTGATGTGACGGGCTAGGGTTGACAGTTTGAACTTTTAATAAAGATAAACGTAGTCGCGTTAGAGTAAAAAGTTAAAAATTGTCGCATGCAAAAAGCAAAATCAAGGTTTAGCACTCGGGGTACACGGCGCGCATTTGCTTCTCGAGGACGCCAAGCACTTGGGCGGCGGTCGGACGGTCCTCGGGCTTGTGCTGGAGGCACCAGTTGGCGAGGTCGGCGTACCACTCGTCGCACTCGGGGCTCACTTCGGGCCGAAGCTTCCCGGAGCGCACTTGGTCGAGGATCGTCATAAACTTGAGGTTCAGGTTCGCGTACGGCGCTTGGAGCGTGTCGAGCTCGGTGAGGATGACGCCGAGCGAGTAAATGTCGGCGGGAAAGCCATAGTGGCCATCAAACACCTCGGGCGCGATCCAGTACGAGGTGCCGATGCCCATCGTGAGCGTCTCGGTGCCAAGGTCGCGGGAGATGCCAAAGTCGGCGATTTTGATATAGTTGGTCGTCGAGAGGAGCACGTTCGAGGCCTTCAAGTCGCGGTGCAGAATGTTTTGCTCGTGAAGGTCCAGAACGCCGTTGGCGATCGCCCAAGCGAGCTCGAGCTTGGAAAACTCGACGTCCACCGGGGCATGCGTGCGCTTCTTGTCGAGGTAGCTCCTGAGGTCGCCGCTGTTCATGTACTCGAGCACGAGCTTGGGTTCGTCCAGCTTTTGCTCGAGGACCGCAATCATCTTGATAATGTACGGCGAGTTGCACCTAACCCCATGTTCCACCACATTTCAAAAGAGCTGCAAAATACGCTACCGGCGCATGGTCTCGATCTCTTTTCGGAGCGAGTCGAGGCCGTCCGTGTTGAGCACGGTCTTGACAGCGACGTCTTGGGTGTGCCACTTGCCCTTGTACACGACGCCTTGGCCGCCGCGGCCGAGCACGATGCTCGACACCACAATGTCCTCGTCGCGCACCTGCGTTTCCATCAGCATCTTGCATTCAAACCAAGAGACGCACGTCTTGGAGCAGCTTCGTGTCGGCGTCGTGGAGAATCTTGACGACCGCACGGTGGCCGCGCTTCCGAGCAATGTACAACGGTGTGATGCCCACCTGTTTTAGGCGCATGAGCGCAGGTTCGGTGAGCGCATTGGTACCTTGTTGCTGAAGCCGAAGTCGGCGCCCGCTTGGACAAACAAGTCGACGATCGGCGCATAGCCCTTGGATGCGGCGAGGAAGAGGGGCGTGCACTCGTTCTGACGTAGCATGCGTTGGCACGATGCGTCTCTGCAAGCGACGTACCTGGTCGTGGACGTCGTTGGCGGCGCCCATGGCCAAGAGCAAGTTGACGACAGCCGTGTGGCCCCGAGTGGCTGCGATAAAGAGCGGCGACACGCCATCCTAGAGCACGTTGATTTTGATGTCGCCGAGCCAAGGGGTACCATCGTCGTGGCGTCAACGTCGGCGCCGCACGTGATGAGCATGCCAACAACCGCGTCGTGGCCGTGGGCCGAGGCTTCAAAGATCGCCGAGTGGCCGTTCTACGCTCTTGTGAGACCTTTCGCGAGCTGCAACGGACCTTGTCGCTGTGGGCAATCACGGCCTTGGCGCGAATGAGCAGCACCACAATCGGGCGGTGCCCAATCTGAGACGCGACCAGCAGCGGCGAGCGCCCCTCCTACGCATACGATGGGCACAGGACGGGAAGTGCGGCGGTACCTTGTTGACAAAGTTGACGTCGGCGCCGGCGGCAATCAGCTTTTGCACGATCGTCTGGTGCCCTTTGGTCGTCGCCACGAACAGCACGCTGTCGACATCGTCGTTGAGGAGGTTAGGGCTCGTGGCCTTGCCGAGGAGAAGCGTCATGAGCGCCACGTCGCCGTCCGTCGCCGCTTTGATCAAACGCAGGCGGTCCTACGCTCGCCATCAAGACTCGTGCGCCGCAAGAGTCGCTCGCACCGCCGCCGCCGCGTCCGTGAGAAGCGTGACAATCGCCTGGTGGTGCTTCTCGCTCGCAATGTCCAACGGCGTCTTCCCCGCCTACCGTGTGTTGGCGTAAGTGATGCTGACGTTTGGGATCCAAGTTGTACGAGGTTGGTGATGCTAAAGTTGGCCTCGGCCTCCACGAGCATTTTGACGATGTTGAGGTGGCCGCTGCTGACGGCGGCGTGCATGGGCGAGTCGCCGACGTGGTTGACCTTGTTCTTCTCGGCGCGCACGAGCAACAGCAGCTCGACGATCGTCTTGTGGCCGTTGAGCGCGGCCATGAAGAGCGGGGACCGGCCCTCCTACATGGAAACGCTTAGACGGACGGGAAATACGACGCGTCGCACCGCGTCGCTTTGGTTGTAGTCGCCGCGCAAGAGCATCTGCGCAATGTTGGCGTGGCCTTTGCTGGCCGCCACGTAGATGGCCGTGCGTCCGCTCTACTCATCGCGTCAGCGCTGCATCGGTCGCGTGGCATACCGCGTCGGTTTGGTCAACGTCGGCGCCGGCGGCCACGAGCTGCGACACCATGCCTTCGAAGCCTTTCGAGACGGCCGAGAAGAGGACGCTCTCGCCCGTCTACGCGGCCTCGCATCGATCGTTGACAAATGAGATTCTACCTCGTCGTTGATCACGTTCGGGTCCACGCCCTTGGCCAGTAGCTTGGACGCGAGCTCAAAGTTGCCGTCGACAACGGCTTGGAGAAGCGACTTGCGGTCGCGCGTGCCCGCCTCCAGCAGCATGGCGCAGATGGCTTCGTGGTTGCGCTCCATCGCGACCATGAGCGGCGTCTTGCCGACCTACGTGGGTGAACCTCAGCAAACGCCATGCAGAGCAACACGACGCACGTTGTTGGGCTTGTAAATGTCGGCGTCGGCTTCAACGAGGAGGTGCACAATGTTGGCGTGGTTGTTGAGCACGGCCATGAAGATGGGCGAGTACCCGTTCTAGGCAGAGGTCGCTTCAAGGTGTTGCAGCCGAGGATTCTCTACCTTGTCGCCTTTGTTAATGTCGGCGTGCGCCGCAATGAAGAGCTTGACGGCTTCTTCGCGGCCCTTCTCGGCTGATATGAGCGTCGGCGTCGACTCGTCCTGGCAGACGTCAAACGACTGAGACAATGTGTCGTCGCGTGTACCTGGTTGCACTTGTTGATGTCGGCGTTGGCTTGGATCAAGAGCGCGACGATCTCGTCGTGGCCGTGGCATGCCGCCATGAACAGCGGTGTCCGGTTGGTCTAATGCAACATGATGCGCAGTCCGTGGACAAATGACGCCGTACATCGTCGCACTTGTTGATGTCGGCTTCGGCGCGGATAAAGCGCTTGACGATTCCGATGTGGCCGTGCCACGCCGCCATAAACACGGGTGTGCGTCCGTCCTATGCGTCCTAAGCCCCCAACGAATATTTGCGCTGCATACGCGGTTGGGCTGGTTGGGGCTTGCGCCGGCCTCGAGCAGGAGGCCCACGATGTTCTCGTGGCCGTACTCGGTCGCAATGTGCAGTGGCGTCGCCGCCATCTACGCCTCGTGAGCTCCAGCGCAAGAACCAACGCGCACCGAGTCAAACTTGGTCAAGTCGGCGTTGGCATCGATGAGGAGGTCGACGACCGCGACGTGGCCGAGCCAGCTGGCCATAAAGACCGGTGTGTTGCCTTCCTACACGATGCCATGACACTGCTTTCGAAAGACATTGGCGGTTGCGTACCACGGTCTGTGTGTTGATGTCGATGCCGGGCTGCGCGAGGAGGAGCGCCACCACCGACGTGTGGCCCTTGGTGGCCGCGACAAAGAGCGGGGTGGCGCCGTACTGCAGCACACGATGAGATCGGTACGTCATGCAACAAGGTGCGTACGCGGTCGGTAAAGTTGACGTTGCCGCCGGCCGCCGCGATCTTTTGTGCAATGCCATCGTAGCCCTTGGCCGCAGCCATAAACAAGATGGACTCGCCCTTCTACGTGCCATGGATGAGACGATTTGCCACGTCGCCGTCGTCACGCACCTCGTCGACTGTATTTGGGTCGCCGCCTCGTCCTAACCAGGCGCCGACCTTGTCGAGCTTGCCGGCGCGGACGGCGTCGAGCAGTGACTTGGAGCTCTACGCGGCGTGAGTCCAACAAGCAGTGACGTCTATCTGTACGTACAAACTCGTCGACTTTCTTTGTGAGCATATCAAACTTGAACATGGCAGCTCTGTGTATCTGTGGCCTTGGACGCACGTTCTCTTCTGGCCATCCTCGGATCTTTGCCCGGCAGGTGCATCCGGATACATGAGACGTTGATGGGCATGGTGCAACTCCCTCATATTCGACCTACTGATTTTGAAGACGGGGAATGCTTTCTTTTTCTGCCCTAGGAATATGGAAACAAGGCTTGTTGCGTTGCAAAACGGGAATATGCCTGAGCTATGCCGGATACCGAGCTACTGCAAGAACGCGGACGGGCCACACGACTTGTTGAAGCAAGCACAAGCTACTAATGGAAGTGGGCTGCGTGCTGGGTTCTGACGAGCAGAGTCGACGGGGCAAGATCCTCGGTTTGCCTGGCGGAGCGTTTTTTTGGCGGTCGACTTGGATCAAGACGCGGAGGAGGCTCGGCTCGTCCCAGCGTTGGACTGCAGATGGACTCGAATGATTGAGAGGTGGCCAAGTGTGACGAGGGCATCCCACACTACACCCACGCGTCCCACCCTCTATTTGGTTACGCATTAGTATTCTAGTGTTGACGATCGTTCTGCAAGTCCATCATCGACTGCCGGTGGCCGTCGGTATCACACAGAGCAAGCGAACAAGCCATCGGAGGCTGCTTGGGTGGCGCAGCTTGGTCCTGTCCCTTTGAAAATTTACGCGCCTCGGTGGGAGGATGTGGCTACTCGGTAGCAGGTGCGCTGACGGCGATGTTCGAAAGGTTGCATCTTCGCAGCGACATGCACCTTCTCGCGACCGATAGTTGAAGGCGGAGCTTCTCATTCACGCACCGTGTGGAGCTACCTATTATGGTCTGCGTGGGTTGAAAGGCGAACGTCCTGACTGCTTCCGTCGCAGAACGGAAGCTCCTTCTCAGGACCACCCGCAGATCCCACGGCCGCGCAGAAGTGACTCCGAAGAACGGCACCTTCGTTTCCTGTCTGTTTTCACGTCTTGTCGCAATCCAGACATCAATAGAAGCGTGCGGGGACAAAATATCGTTGAGGACGACCGGTTCAATCATTGGCCAACGTAATTCCTCCCTAGACAAGCGAGGCTAGCGCAGGGAAGCAAGCAACGGCGTAAAGGTGTAACACGTCAATCGCGCAGGCCGTTTTGTGCCGTTCCTGGCGATGAAGCTCTTGATGAACGGTGATCCAAAGACACAGCGTCACGCGTTTGCAAGAAACTACGTAAATTCTGAAGCATGCACAAGCAACTGAGAATGTTGATGGCCATAAGATGTGTATTTTTGCTCAATGTCGACATTTCTCGGTATCGATTCATTCAGCTGGTATCCATGAGGGTGCTCTAAATTAGCTTCCAGGGCCACAACGCTACTCGTATGCACCAACGTTGAACCAAGCGCCAAAGTCGCAAATAATTGGAAGGAACGGGCCGGGCCACACCTAGAGTCGAGCCCCTATCGACATTGTACTACTTCCTTCCTAAACCATGAGAACTCGCTGGGGGTCTCAACCTGTTGTCCGAGGAGACGCGATGGATGCTGACTACGAGCGTCTTTCTTGGCACCGCGCTGGGAGGGCATGCAAACAGCATTTCACTTTTCGATTCTCGACGCTCCAGCAACATGAAGACGACAATCTTGATGGCGGCGCTCTGTGCCTTGGCGACGGCTGACGTGGCTCCAATGGCGGGTGGTGCACCGGCTCTCAAGGGTGCTGGGACGGACGAGAAGGCGAAGCAGCAAGAGTGGTTTGGCTTTTCTCGCTTTGGCGTCGGGTTTCCCTTCTACGGCGGTTTTGGCTGCGGCGGCGGCTGTGGCTGCGGTGGCTGGGGCTGCGGTGGCTGGGGCTGGTAGAGACGACCGCTTCGTACTTTGATTGCGCGCTCCAGGCGACTATCGGTAGTAAGAATCGAACACGTTTTCTGTGCAGAGTGCATTGTAGCCACATTGAACGAATGGGACACGGTCGGTCGCCAAGCAAACACTACTAGCAGCTGTAGAGTCGATGGATATACTCCCAGATATACTAGTACTGCTGTGGTATTCGGGGACGGTATCCCAGTGTAGCGAGGGTGGAACCTGTCGACGCCTTTTTAGGATATTAAAAGCTGTGCAGATTGAGTCGTTTAAGGGAATCTCAATGTACATTCATTTGCCGGACACACTTCAGCCGAGACTGCAGCCAGGGACTACCAGGTTTTGGTGTAACAATTATAGGTAAGCAAGGACTTGCGATAAAAAAGTTTGCGCCGCCGGGGAATTGAACCCCGACCCCATCTTTGGAAGAGATGGATCCTAACCATTAGACCAACGGCGCTAGATGAACATGTCACAGTAAAAATGAGGTTGTATATTTCCAATACCGATTCGAAAGCCGTTAACGTTTATGCGAAGCGCACAGCACCTCTCGTCCATTCAAATAGTGAGCGAATTGTAAAGAACAGGTGCGGCACCATGTAAACGAAGTCAGTGCGATATGCGGTAAGCACGCAAGAACTCGCGCTGCATCACACTAGCAAGGACGCAAATACACCGTTTTTGCTGCCCTTGATTGTCGATGATGATGCATCGTTTAACCGGATACGTCGAAACTTGCTGGGACCGGCTGCTTCACATCGGACGTGCAATAGCATTACTGCGGTACATGTACTCACATGGGTACCCTGTAATACGATGGTACACGAGGTATTCAGTGCGTGCAACGCCATGTATTATTTTTGGGGTACCCCCAAGATACACGGTGCGGCCCCCCAGGCAGCCGTATCCGGTTATAACCGGACATGGGGTCAGGCGGGACCCGGGACGATTGAATGCCAATAGGCGCCCGTAGATGGACTTCATGGGGTAATTATGGGACATACCAGTCATTATAAGTGTTATGAAACAATTTTTAATTACAAATGTATCTCAAAATGGCAATTTGATGGCCATAAAATGTCTGAATGTAAGCTGAACCAGTTGATACTTTTCATGATGTTAGTAGTCGTGGAAATGTCAGTGTGACCGAGCGGTCCAAGGTGCTAGACTCAAGTTCTAGTGTGTTCGCACTCGCGGGTTCAAATCCCGCCGCTGACAGAATTCCTTTTGTTTACATTACAAGACTCTGAGTGGGGACATGGCTGCATAACGTAGCAGCGGCACCACCTTGCCATCACACGAACGCACATTTAAGAGTATTTTTTCCTTGCCCTCTCTTTGCGCAGTGCAATCGGTAGCATTGCAATGCGTTCAAAACTTGCTTCTACTTCGTACGCAGCTATTGACTATCATAATATCTGTCCGAATTTCAGACAGGTATACGCACGCGAGACGCACAGTACGTACGCGAAGACTCATCGTTTTTTATTTTGGTTTTGGTTCTTGCTCACCTGATTTGAACGCAGACACGTTGGCTCGATAAATTGATGCGAGCTCAAAAAAAATACTGCCTGAATGTGTCGGTGACTTGTTTCGTAAGTATGAGATAGCGCGAACACAACATTCCAGAAATACTAGTACTAGTACAGGTAACTAACCATTTCTAGCATTTTTAGGTTACAATCTACTGCAACTTGTTTTGATATATTCATCAAATATTTTGCCGTATCGTCAAGCGCCGTTGGTCTAATGGTTAGGATCCATCTCTTCCAAAGATGGGGTCGGGGTTCAATTCCCCGGCGGCGCATATTTTTGTCTGAGCTTTGCTTCCATAGCCATCCCGATAACACTTGCACGGCTCCATGTACACAAGGGTCTATAAACTGTTTATAACCTTCACATCGATATATTCCCATGTGTCTCCCTTTGTGGTGACATCGCGGTCTGTACGATGGCGAGCCCCACAGGATAATAATATTAGATACGCTTGCACCAAGCATTTGACAACGTTTGATACGCAGCGATTATTATTGATCAATTATCAAAATCACCATCTGAAATCAAAACGACTACCAGTACTATAAAACGTTCAATGGCCGAGGACAGAGCATGAGCCCTGGAAAGGTTGCCCGCCGCGGCGCAGCGGAGGTACGGTAGGGTGGTAAGTTTAGAGTAGCCTATGTCTTGCTGAGGGAGAACCCATTGGTCTGGCTTGGTATTGACAAGGCCATAAAAATATCCATGACCATATCAATACCGCTACCAACCTAGGCGAATTGTCTTCTTGGTTGACGGAATCTGTTTGATGGAAGGTCCCAAGGGTTTTCCGGATATGATTAGCGCTTGAACGGAGTCCGTAAATATTATGGCCTTGGCACACCGAAAGCACCGAGACCAATAAACGTAGCGATTCGCATGAGGGCTTCTAGCAGGGCGACAACGAAGGTAACGTTATGGAAGTTATAAGACTCGCGACAAACAATGTAAAAGGACGCTCCAGCGAGGACACGAAACACAATGCAACCGAGTGATTGCGTCGCAACATTACCTCCGGTAAGTAGACTAGGCATAGGGCAACAGCTATCTCAAGATCTCGTACTTTATGGCCCTTCTAGAGACAACATTTTTTACAAGAAAATGAAGAGAGCCAACATGCGATCGCATTTGTTGCGTCTGTTTTTTTTTTAGCCACGTCCAGTCGGCTGGCTCAATTGGCTGGGCCAATGCAAGCATGTATCGCTGGAGAGCCAGGAAAACTCTGAGGAAGACCTCGAAGTATGAATTCAAAAGGCATTTACTACCATTGTTTATTCCATATCGAGGGTGAAACAGTACTGTACAATTTGTTGTCTAAAGAGACATTAGTTCCGAACCTGCTTCTGTGGCGTAGCAAAACACAAACTGTCTGCTTCTCGAGAGATGGCTAGCCGTGTGTTGCGTTTTGGCATAATTTTATCTTTGCTTTACCTGGTAAGGTAGGCAAGTGTCACATAAACAAATTAGCTCAGGGTCGGTCCAGTCGCTAATATAAACCGCGAGACAATTCAGCTGCTAGTGTCTTTAGGAAGCCGAGCGCGATCTGATCCTTGGTGGCCGTGCGAACCTCTTGCTCTTTCTAACTTTTTGGATGGTGATTTTGATAATCGATCAATAATAATCGCTGCGTATCAAACGTTGTCAAATGCTTGAAGCAAGCATATCTAATATTATTATCCAGTGGGGCTCGCCATCGTACAGACCGCGATGTCACCACAAAGGGGGACACATGGGAATATATCGATGTGAAGGTTATAAACAGTTTATAGACCCTTGTGTACATGGAGCCGTGCAAGTGTTATCGGGATAGCTATCGAAGCAAAGCTCAGACAAAAATATGCGCCGCCGGGGAATTGAACCCCGACCCCATCTTTGGAAGAGATGGATCCTAACCATTAGACCAACGGCGCTTGACGATACGGCAAAATATTTGATGAATATATCAAAACAAGTTGCAGTAGATTGTAACCTAAAAATGCTAGAAATGGTTAGTTACCTGTACTAGTACTAGTATTTCTGGAATGTTGTGTTCGCGCTATCTCATACTTACGAAACAAGTCACCGACACATTCAGGCAGTATTTTTTTTGAGCTCGCATCAATTTATCGAGCCAACGTGTCTGCGTTCAAATCAGGTGAGCAAGAACCAAAACCAAAATAAAAACGGAGTCTTCGCGTCCGTACAGTACGTCTCGCGTCCGTATACCTGTCTGAAATTCGGACAGATATTATGATAGTCAATAGCTGCGTACGAAGTAGAAGCAAGTTTTGAACGCATTGCAATGCTACCGATTGCACTGCGCAAAGAAAGGGCAAGGAAAAATACTCTTAAATATGCGTTCGTGTGATGGCAAGGTGGTGCCGCTGCTACGTTATGCAGCCATGTCCCCACTCAGAGTCTTGTAATGTAAACAAAAGGAATTCTGTCAGCGGCGGGATTTGAACCCGCGAGTGCGAACACACTAGAACTTGAGTCTAGCACCTTGGACCGCTCGGTCACACTGACATTTCCACGACTACTAACATCATGAAAAGTATCAACTGGTTCAGCTTACATTCAGACATTTTATGGCCATCAAATTGCCATTTTGAGATACATTTGTAATTAAAAATTGTTTCATAACACTTATACTGACTGGTATATCCCATAATTACTCCATGAAGTCCATCTACGGGCGCCTATTGGCATTCAATCGTCCCGGGTCCCGCCTGACCCCATGTCCGGCTATAACCGGATACGGCTGCCTGGGGGGCCGCACCGTGTATCTTGGGGGTACCCCAAAAATAATACATGGCGTTGCACGCACTGAATACCTCGTGTACCATCGTATTACAGGGTACCCATGTGAGTACATGTACCGCAGTAATGCTATTGCACGTCCGATGTGAAGCAGCCGGTCCCAGCAAGTTTCGACGTATCCGGTTAAACGATGCATCATCATCGACAATCAAGGGCAGCAAAAACGGTGTATTTGCGTCCTTGCTAGTGTGATGCAGCGCGAGTTCTTGCGTGCTTACCGCATATCGCACTGACTTCGTTTACATGGTGCCGCGCCTGTTGTTTACAATTCGCTCACTATTTGAATGGATGAGAGGTGCTGTGCACTTCCCATAAACGTTAACAAAATTCACAGCTTTCGAATCGGTATTTGGAAATATATAAACTTATTTTACATGTGACATGTTCATGTAGCGCCGTTGGTCTAATGGTTAGGATCCATCTCTTCCAAAGATGGGGTCGGGGTTCAATTCCCCGGCGGCGCAAACTTTTTTATCGCAAGTCCTTGCTTACCTATAATTGTTACACCAAAACCTGGTAGTCCCTGGCTGCAGTCTCGGCTGAAGTGTGTCCGGCAAATGAATGTACATTGAGATTCCCTTAAACGACTCAATCTGCACAGCTTTTAATATCCTAAAAAGGCGTCGACAGGTTCCACCCTCGCTACACTGGGATACCGTCCCCGAATACCACAGCAGTACTAGTATATCTGGGAGTATATCCATCGACTCTACAGCTGCTAGTAGTGTTTGCTTGGCGACCGAC